TAAAATCAGAGGGAAATGATAGCTGATTAACAAGGGTGTAGAAGCACCTAATCCTGATTGTAAGCCTAAAACTGACATTTCCTGAAAAGTTATCTCTCAATTCTGATTGGTTAATTGGACAGATGTTTCTGGATCAACAAGGATGTTGATCCAGGAACATGTTGTACTTGAAATCACGCTCACCTCCAGTGTACTAGACAGACTTTAGCTGTTGCGGCGCAGACACGGTGTTACTCACCTATCGAGAAGAAACAAAGCAACCTCGGTGTCCGATTGCAGACCTCCCGCTCCTTGAGTTCTCTCCAGCGCTGGAAAGCTGATCTGATATTTACATGGGTCCTACTTCTTGCCTTAAGCCTTCTTTTGTTCCGCAGACGTTTTCCTCTTTTGTTTTTTATCCGCCATCTCTATATTTCTGTCGCTCGGCTCGCTAATGTCCGTCCTGTGCACTGAACGCTCTCTCCTCCACATCATGAGTAGACACGCACCTTACTGCTGATTGGCTACAAGTTTGTTTTGCTATTAGGCCCAAATCAGTTTTCTAAAGCGTTTTTGAAAAATCGCTTACCCCACCTTTAAATTGTCTAAGCAAGAAATGAAAGCAAATAATATTGAAACCAATACCAGTTCCTGCATTTGGATCCAAAAAATGTGCACACATTTATTGATTAGTGATTTATTGATTAGTGACAAAAATGCCTGATATATTTAGAAACATTTAGGCTATACATTAATAAACCGAATAATTTTACTTGCCATAGAAAAATTCATTTTGATGCGAAAAAAAAAAAGTGTTTAGCCCAGATAGCACACGTACGTCTGCGAGATGTCTGTAAAAGATCACTTGATCTGGAGAGCATCTGCTGTGTACAAACATCTGACAGACGTCTGTAAGATGTCAGTTTTACATACATTCTAAATCATAAACATCTTAAAGACACCTAATAGACGTCTATTTGACATCTAATAGGAAACGTCCTATAGAGGTATTACAGATGAGCAAACACACTAAAAAAATGTCTTGCTGATGTAAATGCAGACGTCAAATAGACGTCTCTGTGATGTACGTGTGCTATCAGGGAGCATGTTTATCACATTTCTTGCACTTATTTTAATCACAGGAAGCTT